CATTTGTAATCCATTGACGTCACGTAACACCAAAATTGGTCTATATGAAGCTAGCGAAACGGACGCTTAGCGCTCTATGAGTATAGCATGAAGTCATGTTGCACATTACACGCATGTCATAATTATCATGTTCGGACATGTCATTTACTTTCGTCGTCCATTCACGTCACGTATGCCAAATTTGCTATATCTGAAGATAGCAAAATGACCGCGAGTACAGCATGAACACGGCGTGTAGTGATGAATTACATGATATACATGTCATAATTTCCACATTCAGGTCTGTCACATGTGTTCGCCATGCAGTCATGTGTTAAGATACTAGTATTGGTATACGCCACGCGAACGAAACTACTGCAAAAGAAGCAAGACCATGAATCGCAAATCATGACATTTGTGACATATATGTCATGATTTTCATGGTATTGATAGCCACTTCTGCTCATCATACAGTCATGTTATACCTCATCAATTTTTATATTGATACTATTAGCGAAATGGCAAGGAGAGCTAAAAGGCATAGGCAGTTAGATAGATAGATAGATAGATAGATAGATAGATAGATAGATAGATAGATAGATAGATAGATAGATAGATAGATAGATAGATAGATAGATAGATAGATAGATAGATAGATAGATAGATAGATAGATACGCTCAAAGTCGCCGAAGTTCGCTTAGAAATGCTTGTCGTTTAAACATGGAGGCACTGATGCCTCAAAACAACCAATATCTTAAGCTTTATTTTTTTCACGTGCTTGAGCATTGACCGCCAAACAGATATATCGTTGCAACAAAAACAAATAAAGGACTAATGCAACACATGATAGTGGCGCTTCCTGTTATTTGGTCTCTGACATTTAACTTGAGGGCTTCAGACCTCTAAACAAAATGATTCAATCACCTAATTCTTGTTGCGACTGCGGTGAGCGTTACCTGGCAGCCTTGCTTCGCAGATGTGTTAGGCCCCATAACTTTCCAGGCATTTCTCGTCTATACTAATAATATGAAACTGATGGTGCTAGAAACCAACAGAATAAAACTTGAAATCACATATTTAACAGAAATAACCAGAAAGGAGAGTAAACTGTTCGTCCTTTAGCTCGTTTCCTTTTCTGTTTTTTTTTGTACACAATAGCGTTTATGCAGTGACCCACCATGGCATATAACACTTTCATATGCACGGTGCTATCCGCTGACGTATTTCCGTCATAAGTATGACGTCATAAAATATAGTCTTACAGATTGCTTGAAAATATATGCAGAAAGCTTTGTTGCCGGGGCGTGAGAACTACGACCTCTCGCTCCGCAGGGGGCGGCGCCATTTTACTGACCTATGAAGCGTATACAGTTCAGTTTAGGAACGGCAAGCTATTCAAATGCACCCTAAAATTGCAGAGGGTATCGCAGTAGTAAAAAGGCCTTGTTATTCTTCAGAATATTTTTTTTTTACTGTCGCAAAGCATCAGATTGAATGAAAACCATTTTCACTCCGAATGAACGGAGAGAGTGAAACTGCTGTTTACCTCTCTCGGAGAGAGAGTAATGCCCATAATATGGAATGTTAAGACGTGAGAGAGTAAAACGCGATTAAACTCTTGCTATTGATTACACATTGATGCCGTGGCAACCCGCGAGTGATTAGCGCTACTTTGTAACCACTGTTATATGTAGTAAAAAGTAACGAATTTGTTTGTTGTGGCGTGAGAGACGATAAAAAAACAACAGCGTTTTCAGCGCGCACCAGTGAGTTTCATCGCACTGGCAGACAGTTTGAACTCTTATTCTCCTCATTTTTAGACTCAGTTCTTTATAGTTAAATGAGCGAATACGACTTCGTTCATTCGGTCCAATTCAAAATAAATTCAAACGGCTATTGCGTCCTTTTTATAATAATATTTAGGTTTTATGGGATCACCATCGCACAGGGATCCTGCCGTAAGTCTAACGTTCGGAATGTCTACAGTAAAATATTGTGGCTTCAGTCGTGGAACGTGAACTTGAATTACTGAAAGTCTGTCTAAGGACGGGAATAAAACATAATTGTTCAGGGTGCACTAGAGAGGCGTGATGTTTTGTACACAGAAATGACTAACCGCTTAGCCAGTTCTTGCAAATGTCATTCATACAATCGTTTGCGCTATACTTTCCTACTGTAAAACGTGTCGGATAGACGTTCTGAGCTCACGAAGCACAAAACAAACACATCAAACACATGAACAACAGACCTAATGGTTGTTAGAAGCGCTGAGGCACTCCCGTCAGCGCTTCTAAACAAAGAAATTCAGAAAATTTATATGCATGACTAAAGACATGAAGAAATGAGTGCTCGTGAGCCGTCTACCTGTGTGGTGTAGTGGTCAGCATGTCGGAGTCTCAATTTGAAGTGCGTCTAGAGATCAAAGGTTCGAGTCTAAGGAATTTCTGGTGTTGCTTTTTTTGTACTCGTATTTAGCCACCCTAGCGTGCCGCGCGCGAAAAAATTTGTGACAATCAATTACAAAGCCCTATTTCGGCCCGATTTCTGCTATTTTTATTGTACTAACACCCTGGGTAGGGTCATGCTACTCTACTTCGGGCAGCTTAAGGCTGCTCTGTTGTCGTGGAATACTTTGAATATTTCTGGGAGAATAACTATATTTTGCCTGAAAAAGATGTGATTTACTCTGCAAAATAGACTGAAAAAAAATTGGCCTCAAATAGGCATGGTACACTGCAAATGTCGTTGAAAGACGATAGTCTTACCACTGGAGAGAGTGAACAAAACATTTATTTGATGTTTTATGCAACACAATGGATGAATGGTATTCTGGAGGTGCTGCGTTAGAGGGCCTTGAGCGGGTAGTGAACGCGAATGAGCGCATCGAGGCACTTTTGACCCGATCGCCATCTGCCAGTTATCTTCGAAAACGAAAGCGTACGCGCCCGCGGAAAAAGATGCGCGCCTCTCTAGGGAGTGATAATGTATAGAACGGAAAGCGACGGGTAGGTGCCATTACCATGTCGTCTTAACAAAGCGTTGAAAACGCTTACTTTTTGATCGTCACGTTGCACTGTCAGCGCAGCGAGATAACCGCTACAGTCCTTATAGTTACTTGTGTGTGCCTCTGCTAGTATGAAGACACACATACAAAACATCAACGTGTTGTTATGGAGCCTCAGATATACGCAATAATTGCTTTTTGTTTGACAATCGCACAATTATGATCGCTGAATCTTGAGCAATATTGGTGGGCGCAGCGGATGGGGTCGGCCATTTGGTGCCGTTTGAGGTATCGTTAAGGGTGGACAAACAGACAATTGTAAAGACAGACAGAAAAAAATTTTTCCGTCGAAGGTCCCTAAGAAAGACTATCATCTTTAATGTGTGACAAAAAATAACACCTAGCACTCTCTTAGTATTTAGAGTGTACACCACACACCATTCGGGTGGTCTCGAGAGCTCCGCAATTACAGCGAGTTCTGTCATAAGTTGTGCGATGGCGGGACGGACATCCGTTCAACGGACATCCTTCACATCCTGCAACATGCGAGTAAAAAATAGGTAGCTTGAATAGTGTTGGAAGGCCCTTTTATGAATTTTTATGCGAGTTGCTTGCAAATCTGATGAAAAAATCCTTTTGTTTAGATATTTTTAAACGCAGGTCACTGAGTGTGCACCTCTGTATTTTTCTTGATTCATGGTCATTCGTCCTATTGTATTTTACAGCAAGCCGAGTTTCCAACTGTTGTGCGGTGAATTAGTGTTTACGGCCCTCAGGTGCTAACCTGAAAGTAGCGCGTTCGATCATGGCCACGTTGATCGCATTTCGGAGGTGATGTGGTGGCGGCTGCTTTAGCGTCCGATGTCAGTGCACGTTACTGAGCACCAGAGGGTCGAAATTTCCGGAGCCCTCCAATATAGTGTCTAATGATGCCGTGGTTTTGGAAAGTAAAACCCACGGTAATGTTAATAATAATAATAATAATAATAATAATAATAATAATAATAATAATAATAATGGTGATGATTCCTATTACATTATTAACAATAACAATTATATAAAATATTATTATTATTGATAATACTAATAACAAAAAAATATTAATATTTAATATTATTATTGCTGTTATTGTTGTGTTTATTCACTGTTCTCTGTCATTTTTTCATACGAACATGATTTATGTCACGTGGTTGTGACATTGAATAAGGCAACAATAAAGAATTGCAGATATGAAACTCTTCAATTGAGCGAACTTGTTCAGCGGGAACAAAAAGTCAAATTACAGGTAATGCACGCTGTAAACTAACAGCAGTGTACACGGATTCGGTGGTCAACAATCTGCCTAGAGGTGAAAGATCCCGGTATTCACACATGTTTCATAGAAGTTTCGTCACCGCGTAAGTTCTTCGCGTATTCGAACTGAAAATTCTCCAGACATGGGTGTCGATTCACTGGAGGTGATGAACACACGGCCAGTGACAATAAATAGAGCGTAAGTTTTGTGTTTGACCATATATCATGTGTCCTACCTAGCTTGAAAATTGATGAAACACGACTTTTCTATTGCGTATTACGGAACACCTAATAACTGAACAATCAATACTGAAGGTGGGGATAGTTGTTCATACGCGCATTATGGGCAAGCAGTGTGCAGACGATGATAAGGTAACACAATGTCAACGCTGACTCTCAACTGGTGATTAGAATATACTGAATACTTAAACAATGAGCGTACTGAACATACGCAGAGGAGTTGGTCAGGAATGATATTGAGGCTCATAGAAAGATGGGATGGTTATGGTGCCTTGCAAGCTCTTCTGCGGAGGTGCATTCTGTTTAAGTGTCTGACTAGTCTGTACAGTACCCTAGTAAATCACCAGTTGAGAGTTAGCGCTTCTGTTTTCTTACCTTGTCTTCGTTCCGTCTATATGCACGCTGTTTTCACGCATAACTGAAGTACACTTATTGAACATGCGATTCTGGGTGACTTCAATAGTATTTTTTTTCCTTTGACAGGAACACCATGGCTGCGCGTTGAGCGCCGAGACAGGGGCCAGCGCATGGTGCTCACGTGCCGCGTCTCAGCAGAAATAATTCCCGGCAGCGTTCTCTGGTACAAGGACGGCATCGCAGTACTGGGTGACCGGGTCAGAACAGCTGACGGAAATGACATCGTTCTGGTTATCGAGAAAGCTGCGCCAGAGAACTCCTACTTGCAAGGTTATTACTGGTGCGAAGGTGTAAATGTGGTCGACTTTCGACCGGTGGAGTCAAAGAAATTACTCGTCCGCTTTCCAGGTAAGGAAGAACAGCTTCTCAGCCCAGCCGTCTGTACAGAGGTACATCCATGAACATTGGCGCTTTGAAGCAATTTCAGTTTATGCGCAAAGCTTGAAACGCTGTAGGCGGCTGTCACGTGTCCCTATATCATTGCCATGCTTTTTGCATTTATCTGTCAAGCAATGCTGCGCACTCTTGCTCAACCCAGAGCAAGTACTTTCCAAAACATTATTTTATGTTGAACATTCAAATATTGTTCGTAAAGTCATTTGCCTAATTCTCTTTTCATGTTAGGGATTACACGGTCATTACAAAATAAACTCTTAAAAAAGTCTTGCAAGACATGCGTATTGGTAAATTCACAATAAAATAACGTCAAAAGTGACATTCCTGTAGTGTTAAAAACGTTATTCATGTCCTGCACACCCTGTGGTTATGGGCTGACCCTAAGGTCATGTCTTCGACTCCAGCCGTCGCGGTCGCATTTCTACGAAGGCGAAATAGTACATTTCCGGGTACTATGCAAAGTCAGTGCACGCTGAAAAATGCCAGGTGATCCAATTACTGGAGCTCTCAACTATGGCGTCTTTTATAATTCTATCCTGGCTGCTCGAAAGACGTTTGCTTGAGGCCCCGCGCAGGGTGGCGCTAAAAGACATTAGCTTCAAAGTAATATAAAAGTAGATGACCTTGTTATCAAACAGTTTTTTTATAACAAATGCGAGTGCACTTCATAAATTGCATTTATTTTTGCTGAGAGGAACTGAAAGTCTTTGGAACGCCTAACACTGTATCAAACAGAATTTCCAAATTACAGTATGGAGCTACCGCACCTATTAAAAAAACCGTTACATGATTAGGAAGGCAGACGTAAAACTATTGCCGTACTTTCTTTCAGGTGTGAAGACATACGCCTGTAGCATGTCTCTGAACGGAAGGAATCCGCAACTTTACGCATTCTCTTCTAACGAGGCGCTTCGGTTTGCTTCTAATTTTCGAAGAGAATTCTTGTATGCGATTCATGACACAACGTTGGAAGGATACCACAATGAACTGCAAGTTGTGGGTGTTGTCCAAGACACGTAAGTATTGATAGCTATTTGGTGTCATTGCATCCATCAAGGTCTGTCACTCGTATGTAATGAAATACTATCTTCACAAGACTACCGAAACCTATGAACTGCACGAAACTTCTGTTATTACATAGATAAAGAGATGATGGGACCGCCTCTTGTCATGCTTCAGTGCACATTAACTTTAAAGCAAAGAACCATAACCGGACTCCTCAGAATATGTATGGTGTTATTACTCTTCTAATGTCGTTTAGTTTCGTTTTACTTCCAGCTATATGATTGATAAATATGTGGGATTTAACGTTCTAAACCCAGGATAAGATTATGAGTGACGCCGTAGTGGAGGGTTCGGAAAATTTAGACCACCTAGGGTTTTTTACCGTGCACCTAAATCTGAGCACACTGACCTACAGAGTTTCCGCTTCCATCGGCAACGCAGCCGCCGCAGCCGGGATTCAATCCCGCGACCTGCGGGTCAGCAGCCGAGTACCTTAAGCACTAGACCACCGCGGCGGGACTTCCCGATATAAGTGCATCATATTCTTGAAGTCACGATACTCTTCATACTTCTCGTGCGAATGACATTGTATAAGACCAGTTTTAAATAATCAACACTTGATCTTGTTGAAATATTATCTTAAAGCCTGTGTCCTGCTTTTCCTGATCCCCACAGCAACATATCTGCGCAAGCAGGCGGTAGCGCGTATTGACACCATGGACCCGAGTTAACGGGGGGGGGGGGGGGGGGGTTTCGTTTTTCTTCCACGCTAAGCCGTGCGTGGCTGAGTCGGGTCGGGGAAAAGGGGATTCTGGGGGTGCAGAAAATTAAGCCTCCCGTTTAGAAAAAAATGGGTTTATTTACTATAAAGCGCTGCCTGACTCTATAAATTGCTGCTGGAGCGCGTGAATCCGAAGGCCAGTACTATTGGTCCTTTTCATCGTCGATCCTTATTCAACAAACTACCCGCACGTGAAAGTTCATCCAAAGCTTGATTCCCGAAGGTAAAGGTGTTTAACGGCCCGTTTAATGGTAGTTCCACTCATTAGTCTCAACGTACAGGATCTGACCTTGCTATCCCTTCCTTTATGGAGCTCTTCTATTCAAACGACGTTCTATAGTTGTCGGGGCTTTCTGATCTCTTCAAAAAAAATAAGGTCGCCTTTCTTGATTCGGTCAGACAGAGTCGCTTATTTGGGAAAAGGCATTGCTTTCAAATCCGAGAGGTATTATTTAAACCAACGCTCTCTGAAAATTCTGAGTGTTTTCTTTTTGTTGTCACATAGGTAACACATTACAAATATAGACAGTGATCTCGGCGTGAGTCACGTCGGGAAGTGCAGATATTCCCCTTCGATGAGAAAGTAAGCCAGAGTGTGTTGTTCTAGCTCTCGACAGTCATTATAAAGGTATGTGAATAGTCGAGAATTGATGACAGCTTCCACTTCAGTTAAGGTAGTTTGTAGCTGTTTTTCTGTAAGAGACGCTCTTCATATGCATTTCTTCGTCAGTTTGACAGACCTGTCAAGTGTCTCGTAAAAGCCACTCACCATGGTGCATGATCGGTGATAAATATACAGTTCATCCTTTGTTGGTGAATCAGCTACAAACTTCTTCATTTGTCATTGATTGCCATTGTGTCGAAAATTCTTTTTGCGGTTCATGAACGGTAAGACATTGTCTGAATATATAACAGAAGGAACAGCTCGCCTCAAGACGAAGCATCAGAAAACGACAAGAAAGCTTGCGGCAGTCATATCTTCGACTAATTCGATATGAACTACTCGAATCACGGCCCACGTGAATATTCAAATGTAAATTTTGGTGTAGTCATCTTAGTATTTTATGTATAGTGGACCGGCGAAGTCCAGTCCTGTTACTTGTAAGGTTCCGAGGTGGTCACTCTCTCAGGTGGTAACGGCACTGCTACTTCGGACAAATGTCTCACATTAGAGCTTTGCCAACCTATGTACCCTCTGATAATTTTCTTGATCAGTGTTCATCCTCGTAGTATCAAGAATCTCTCCCTTATTTGAACAAGTGTATTCGAAACTGCTGCATGAGTGCGTTGACAGTGGTACTACACGACGAGAAGCTTGCAGTAGTGGTGCTTCTTGGGTAATACAATTGGGTGCTTTTCGTCGTGAGATTTTTGCTGAATTGTAAGCGTCCCTGGACGAGAAGAACTCCATTTCTGAGGAAGCAGGTCTCATCGCGAAGCATAAAGCCCTTCAAGGTTTGAGCTGCCCATTGAATGCACTCAATTTCCTGATAAAATGCTGAACTCTGTACTTTTTCTATCTAATATAATTCGGCCACTTGTATTTCTTTAGCAGTCAGGGCTCCATGTAACGAGAACTTCCGCTTCATCTTCGTCGAAACCTTAGTATCCAAGCTGTAAAGGGGTGTTGACTTAAGAGGGAGCTCTATTTATGAATCTACTGAATGGGCGGTTCCTTTCAAACGACAACTCCAAACATGTTGCCCAATGCGTTAATTCCTGTGTGATGCTCAGTGGATTATCGATGGAGTTGAGGATTTGGTGTGTAGGGCATTCGTTTTTTTACATGTAATTGAGTTGGGTCCCCTCTACCAGACTGAGTTTGTTATTAGGTTGTAAGCGGACAGTCTTCTCGTTAAAAAATTAGCTGCGTTTTGCTCTCTTGGCCAGAGTCTCGATGTATGTATGCCCGTTTTGCTCTGAATCTCCGTTACCCTATGCCGAACAAAATCTTTCCATTTGTTAGGATCTTCGATTCTCCAGTACAGTGCGATCATTGAGTCAGTTCAAAACTGTACTGAAGTGATGGCCTTGTCCAGCTGACGGCGCACATAGTCGTACATTTGTGCTGAGATAAAACAAGCAAGCAGAACGAGTCCGACAAGACCTATTTTTATCAATGGTGCTACTCTGGACTTGCATAAAGCAATTGTTCAGCTTTTGTTGTTTGTATATCCTGTTGTGCAAATGTAGCAAGCTGCACTATAGGCTGACTAACTTGCGTTAGTGAAGAAATGGAGTGCGGAGTTGTCGCCAAGTCCACGTCCACTATGTTGGTAGAGCCGACGTATTCCTATGTTACAGAGGTGTGAAAGGTTATTGCACCGAGTCCTCCATTCATGTAGAACGTCCAAAGGTAACTCTTCCTCCAAGTCTATCCCCATGTGCCAAAGCTTTTGGAAACTGCTTTTCATCCGTATTGTGAAAAGAGTGAACATGCCGAGGGGGTTGTATAGGCGGGAGATCGTCGGTAGCATGAAGCGTTTGGTATCGCTTCTTTGTTACACGTTGCCCAGCGCGTAGGTCAATTGAGCCTACTTGTGTAGCTTCATCAATGCACTTGAAGTAACTCGGCAGCTTCCAAACGCAGCCGCTTCTTCGACCCAGTTCGCTCCAGTTGAAATGTTGTCGAGATATCTGGAATTCCTCAGTAATGTGGTCGTTTTGGTGTAAGCTGATGATGTTTGATCAAGGTGATGATGTATGATGACCGCCAACAGAAAGAGGCATGTCGTGCCAAATGGTACCCTTGCCTGCGAAAGGTTGCGACTTTAGGCAATGATTGAACTGTAGTGGCGCTTTCTCTAACCACAAGTAGTGCAATGCATGTCGGTATTCGCGGTTAACGCTTCCTTGGAGAAAGGCTTTTTCGATGTCTCCGACTAAGCCAATGCGCCATTTTCTGAAGCGGAGATCGGCACCCATGAGATCGGCATTTAGGTTCGGTGCAGTATGGAGACTGTCGTTAAATGAGAATTCTGCTTTTTCATGAGATAAAGCATCGAATACTCGAAGCATGGAAGATGGTGCACCATGTAATACACAGTGTCCTCTGCTTTATGTTCAATGACCTTTTGAGCTGCACCATCTTTCGCGTGATTGCGTATGCCAACATGACACTCTTAGCAAATGAGGACATCAGCGAAGTTTTTGGTGAAGCTGATTTAAACATGTCTTTGCGTTTGCTCTATTGTTGTTATTGAGAATGGTCAGTTTATGTAGGAGAGAGGCCACGTAGGGCTGATGCTACATCATGACTGTGCCGTTGACAAAATACAGAACTGGGTTTTCATCCGGGGTGCTCTTGTATTCCTCCAGTTTTATTTCTATCACTTCCAAGTCTCGATAACTGCTCGTTGTAAATTTACAGTCTGTCCCTGCCTTCAGAAAAATTGCATCATTGCGATACGTGATAGCAGAGGAGGAGGCTACTGGTACATGTAGAGTCCAGCCTAAACTAGTGTTGACGACCTTGAGTCCGGCGTCCAAATTTGGCGTATTGTCTGTGACAAGTGACCATTACTATTCACGACCCACCAAGACCTCGAACGCGTTTGAGCTTCCGGCTTGATCAACGTCAGAGAAGTAATATCGTTGCTGTTCAAGCTTGTCGATGAAGGCCTGATGCAGTCGTGGGATAGACTGGTGACAAATGTTTGTTGTGAAGAGGGCTTGATCGAAAGTGGCATCTGACTATGCAGAGATGTAGAAAAAACGAGCACATGCTGGAAAGCCTTCTCATCATGTGGTCGTCCTAAAAATCGCCTCATTAGGTTCTCGTGATTCAGTACGCGACAATTTATATTTTGAGCCAAATTCTCAGTGATGAAACTGTGCTGGCTTTCTCTATCGAATGAAACTCTAACTACGCATTTGTTTCCTTGTCTGGTGGCCCTATCTGTAGCTGTATGAATGAACAGAAGCCATTTAGAGCTGCCAGTTTCAATAATTTTAGGCTGAATTGCCGCTTTTCATGTTTGTGGACTGTTAATAGAATTCAGCAACCGAGGGCCACACATTGTTTTGGCATAGCTTCGATTGCATTTTGTACATGCTACGTTTTTTCAGCAATTTTTCGCCAAATGATATTGAAATGTATATCATAAAAATGGGCCTCCCCAAAGTACTCGTCTTTTTCTCGAGAGGAATCGGACAGTCGCATTGCTCTATGTTACGGGTATTTGCCTCACAAGAAAAAGCAGAAGTTCTTGCTTGGAACTAGCTTCGCCG